GCTTGCCTGAGAGCGTAGAGTTCCCTCTCGTAGGTAGATGTCGCGACCTTCTCTGAAGGCATTCTAGCGGACATGAACTCTACGGGTCTATACCCATTGCCATCGTCTTGCTGTAACACTGCGCCTATGCCGTACTGGCTAGCATCCGTAGTAACGACAAAAGGCAATGACGGATCGGCGACCTTAAGGACCGGGTAATCTATCAACGCCTGCTTTAGCTTCTTCATGGCAGACGTGCAGTCCTTGTCCCACTTCCAGATTGTTTCTTTTCTTAGCAATCTGCGAAGGGGCGCAGCGATGGTGGAGAAGTTCCTCACGAACTTCCTGTAGTAATTTGCTAAGCCCAGGAACGAGCGCGGCTCTGTCAGCGTACGTGGCGTGGGCCAATCTCTAATCGCTGCGATCTTGCCATCTTCTGGCTTAACGCCGTCTCCGTCTAAGACGTGGCCTCGATACAAAACTTGGGTCTTCGCCCAATCGCACTTCTTTGCGTTGATCTTGAAGTTAGTTTCCCTCAGCTTTTCCAAGACCTGCCTGAGATGACCCTGATGCTCGTCGAGGGTCTTACTAAACACTAGAATGTCATCTAGGTACACTATAACAAATCTATCTAACCACCGCCTGAACAAATCGTTCATACAGCGCTGGAACGTAGCTGGCGCATTGGTTAGTCCAAAGGGCATCACTATGAACTCGTAGTGCCCATATCTAGTCCGGAAGGCTGTCTTATACTGATCATCAGGATGCACCTCTATTTGATGATATCCGGACTTCAAATCTATCTTAGAAAAATACTTCGCCCCCTGCACTCGATCTAAGAGATCGTCTATCCTAGGCAGTGGCTCAGCATTCTTTACTGTAATAGCATTCAGACCCCTATAGTCTATACACATCCTCACCTCTCTCTCTTTCTTAGGGACAAAGAGAACAGGGGCTCCAAAAGGCGACGAACGGGGTCTAATCCAACCCTTTTCAAGAAGCTCGTCCAATTGCTTCCGTAGCTCTTCCAACTCCCGCGGGGACATCCTATATACARCACCCTTAGGAGTTCTACTGCCAGACTCTATCTCAATACGGTGCTGGATGGGCCGCGACACCGTGCCTGTCGGCGGCTCAGTTAAATTCCAGCAATTTGGCAATAGCAGGGTCTACGGGCTTCTCTTCCTTAGGCTCAGTCACTGGACTGACATAGGCAACAAAAACCTGTTCCTCTAGTTTCTCCTTTTTCACCAATCTGGCGAACGCAGGGGCACTAAGGCAGCAGTGCGCCAAGGAATTTTCTAGCCCTGACGCATGAAACAAGCGGGTAGTCTTGGCCTCGCCTGACAAACTAGGGAGCCTACACTCATGCTCCTTCAAATGGAGCGTAGCCCCGGCTGCCTCTCCCCAATCCATTCCCAGAACAATGTCAAATGGGAGGCTGTCTTCTACGAGGAGAGTCAGGGAGT